ATAATGAGCCTGCATTGTTTTTACAGGAATAAAGTGGTTTGTTTTTTTTCTGAAATAAAAACAAAACAAAAGAAAAAAAAAGCTGACTGGAACCAACTATTCTAATTTGGTAATAGTGGTTGGTATAGAGTAGAAGGAATATAAGTTATTGTTATTTTCATTTTTGTACATTTATTTACTTCAAATTTTTTTTAAATCATTGTTTGACATTCATCAATGAAAATGTTTGAGCAGCAACCACCATTTATACCATAAGCCCTGCTATCTAGGCTGTACATGAAAAGGCAACCAACTCTGTTAGCACAAAATTTATTATAAGAATTGTAACAGCAACGTGTTTTTGCTTATAAAAGCACTAGTAGCCTGGTGCACAAAATTCATGCACTCGGGGGGGGGGAGAGGTTTAGGGGGTTCCTCAGCCCGGATTGCGAGAGGGTGCAGGCCAGGCCAAAGGACCCCACTGGGGTAGGATCAGGCTAGGGGGGATGCAGGAGGTTGGCCAGCAGGGAAGGGACCACAGGAGGGCTCCAGGGCAAGTCTGGCTTGTCTCGCTCAGTCCCAATTGGCAGGACCCCAGCAGCAAGCTAATCTACCTTTTGGAGCATCTGCCCCCTGGTGATCAGTGTACATCATAGCAAGCAGTTGAGTGGCCTTAGCATATCATTAGCATATTATGCTTTGTTTGGTTGAATGGCCAACCAGACACTTAGCATACATATTAGGCTTTTATTATATAGGATGACAACTATTTTGAAGTTTAACTTTTGGTCCAACAGGAATCATACCATTTTTAGGAAAATGTTTCCATGACATAGACCAGAGTAATCCTTCTCAAATACGGGTAAAGTTCCATTGCAAAGAATACTACAATTAAAGAGCTCTTTATGGAAGATCAGACAACCAAGAGAAGTAATGCTTTGCTAATCTGGTGGTACACAATGTCTGTGGTAGTAGTTTTTATAACTATTACCTCTAAAAAAGGACCTAACTCTGATGCTTACAGCTCAGAGAAGCTGAGTTATAACTGTGCTTTATATACTTTTCTGTCTTGCCGTTAAGCAGCAATTATCTTTCAGCTCATCTTTTTCTCAAGACATTAAAATCATCTAAACAAAACCACCCAAGCTACCTACTAGAATTAAAACATGGGGAAAACATCCAGGAATAGAAAAAAAGAGTATAAGTAGTGATGTGTGTATAACACCTTCTCTAAAGTACCTCTTTTCCCCTGCTAATTTACAACAAAGAAGCTAGACACAGCTGTTTCAGCTCTAGATCCTAAAGCCTGGAAATCATATTTCTAGCAATGCATTCAATTTTACATTTCATTACAATGAAATAATTTAGAGACATCTTTACATCCCTTCTAATGGAAATTTACCTGCATGATACCACCACTTGCCTCCATTTCCTCTCTATATCCTATCGTTAAACATTACCTTTCCCTCATTTCAATAACCCTAGAGCAGGTCTTGGATGCTTGGGTGGGAACAACTGTCTTACAAGCCTCCTTCCAGTTTGTTTCTCCTCCACTTCTACACCAAGCAATAATATCTCCCACCAACAGCTGTTTTCAGTAATAAGAAAGCTAAGTTCTGTGACTAAGCTAAACATCCCGTCTGTTCTCCGAGGCCTACAATGGTTCCTAGTTGCCAATTACATCAAATTGAAATTTCCAAATACTGTTCACTATGTCCTTAATGAACTGTGCTGAGTACTCTGAACTATCTGTTCATATTTTCCTACATATTCAAATCTATATTCTCAATTCTATGTACTCTGACAACTTTGTGTTACCACGATTAATTCATTTCTTACTTGTATTCTTTCCTACTGTGGTCAGGACTATTTATTTATTCTCTCTTTTCTCCTTAACAATAGATTTTTCTAACTTTCATCTGGGTATTTAGCTGTCCAGTATAAAGTTTGCATTATTCAGCCTCTCTTGCAGCTAGGAATATCCATGTGACTATGTGCTAAACAATAAATGTCATCAGCAACTTCAATAAGTGTTCTTAAAAGGAAGGATCATTCATATTTCAACTTCTCCTTCCTACTGGCTAGACTGCAGATGTGATGACTGGATCATGAAATGGAAGTTATGTGCTGAGTTTGGTGGAGCAATAAGAAAGAGCGAGCACTGGGTCACTGACATCACAGAGAGCCAGAGCAGACCTAGAATACCTTGTTCTGGACTCCTATTATATACTGGAGGCCCAAGGCACAAAATTCATGCAAGGGGCTCGGTCCTCGCAGGCCTGGCTTTGTCCAGAAGGTTGTCTGGAGGGACATCTAGAAGGATGTCCAGAAGATCATTTGGCTGTCGGTCTAATTAGCATATTACGCTTTCATTATTATAGATATGTGCTACCATTTTTATGGCCTCTATTACTCTCATTGTGGGTGTACCAAATTCTAACTGATCCATTCATCTCTAAGTTTTTATTTGCTACTTCTCCTATCCCACTAAGAAGGCCCCCAATTTTTCCTATCTTCCCTCCTACCTCAATCAAATTGTCAGTTTTCTTTCTTCCTTTAAAATACAGCTTCAGATTCAAACACAGAATCCTACATGGAAATGTTGATGTTGCTAAGCTTACTTAATTAAATTATTCTTCTTTGAACAAAAAAACATATATATCTATATGGATAAATAAAATTAAAAATAATGTAACAGATTTTTAACAAATTTACTATAGCTTATACACCCAAACATTCACTATTTAAATAGTACTCTTACTACAGATTCATTATAATGATGCCATCATTCACCAAAACTTTTTGCACAGTAAGGAAAAACAACACAAAACCCGTTACCCGTCCATCACTAGATATAACCTCCATGAGTGGAAATATACCAAATTTGCTTATCAGGCCTAGAACAGTAACTAACATATAGTAAGTAGGTACTCAAGACATATTTTCAGTATAAAAATATAAATTGTAGCAAAACGTCTTCATTGTAAGGTAGACTGAATTTTTTTAAAAAGAGTCAAAAGTCATTCAGGGCTTAGGCTAGTGAATAAGATATGTCATAAATCTGGGAATATAATTTTGGGTTAAAAAAGTAGTGACTATAAAATAATAAGCTAGATTTTTCTTGTATGAATCATGAAACAGCTCAGAGAAAGCCAGTTCTGTAGCAGTTAGGGCCTCATTTCCCAAGCTTGTAGTTAAGGATGCCAAGCTTGCTCCAGTATCAGAACATTTTGCACCGCTGTTCCCTCTGCCTGGAACACTCCAGCTATCACATGATTACTCCTCACATCATTCAGTTCTCCTTTATATATTCACCTCCTCCAAAAGGCCTTCCCTTACTACCTGACCTAAAATAAAGCTGTTGTAGTCCTTCTCTGTCCCGACACTGCTTTCCTTGTTTTCTTTTGTAGATAGGAATTGCCATTTCACTATCTGACATAATAGCTTTTGTTTGATTGGCTGCCTCCCACATATACCCCAACCAGGACCAGGGATCGGGGCCAGGGATCAGGGGCAGGGATTCAAACTGTACATGTCCTTGATGGGGAATCAAACCCGTGACCCTTCCATGCTCGGGCAGATGCTCTAACCACTGAGAACACTAGCCAAAGCCTGACATAATAGTTTTATATCTACTTTGCTTATGTGTCTTGAATATCTGTCTCAGTCACTAGAATATTTTCTCCAAAATGAAAAGGACTTTATTATCAGTGCTATAGCTCCAAAGTTCTGCTAGACGTCAAAATTTCAAATAATAAACTTAATAAAATTATGTTTATAGTAAAAGAGAAAAGGAGAGAAGAAATGAAGGAGGGTATAAGAAAGGTAACAGAGAAGTAGCAAAAGGGGTAAAGAAACTCTAGATAAACCACAATTGGTTATTTTACAGTTACTTCTTTTTAGTGTCAGTTTGAATTCAAGGCTTCCGTAAGAAAATTTCAAAATGGGTCTATCTCTTTTGAGATATATTTCAAAGGAATGGGTACCCTGGAGAAAGAGGTTCCATCACCTTTTGAAAGCATTTGGATGATATTTACTATTATAATTACAATGGCCACCTCTTTATTATATTCCCATCTCCCCAGTCCACACAAGTACAGATAGAACTCCTGACTGAGTCAGACAAATACTTTAATGATTTCTAGTAGAACTGGTTTGTGTTGATATTACTATTAACATTTTGACATTTTCAAACTGGCATTTGGAATGTCTACTCATATTGAATACCTGCATCTCTTTCAGATCATGAGAAACAGATTTACCTAAAGCTAGAGGTACAATACTTGTAACTAACTATATGTTACTCCTACTAAGCCCCTCACTTATAGCACAAAGTTTAGTTCTGTTCAAGGGACAATTATCTCCGTCAGATTTCATTAATGTTTCTGTTTCCTCAACCTGTCCTCTCCTTAAACACAGCTTTTCAAAACAGGGTTTGTACTGGAGAAATTAGGGCAAAATGACAGCCCTTTATGTTTAAGCAAATTTGGTAGAAAAAAAAAATCCATTTTCCTGCTTTCTAATAAAAAAAAAATCCCTTTTTAAGAAAAGTTCGGTAGTCCAGATTAACATTTTAGTCAAAGGAAAGAGTTTTAGAGCAATTTTAAAATTTTGAGGCACATTTAGGACAATGTCAATTTCCTGATTTATAGAATTAAATGGCACAAATGTACCCATACGCAGATCCTAATCTCAGAAAACAATTCTTACTGACATTGCAATTTTAATTATAACCTTAAAGATCAATCAGGATGCAAAATAGGGTAGTAGTTACTCATTTAATTCCTTTTAAGCTCAAAATCATTTTATTTGAATCCCAGAAACTGCATTCAGAAAATAGCCATAAATATTCTACTGAATATTATTCTTCATCTTTGTTCTCTAAAGTATGATGACTACTATAGTAGTAATATTACAACTAGTATAATATTAAAAAGTTTGCACTAAAAGTTACGTTTTACATTTTGTAGTTGTTCTTAAATACCTATTGCATTTTAGGCCAATGTTCACGTTATACGCACTTCTTTCACGTTGCCTTGCAACCTTAAGAAGCTTATACTTGTTCTCTGAGGCAGGAGCTTCTGGTGTGGGGGCAGAAGCCCAGGCTGTTGGTGAGTTACCTGTATGAGGTAATCTTTTAGAAAATGCCATAGAGTAGGAGCTACGCCGTCTAGTCCGACATGCTACTTCCCTCTCTTTCTGCAGCAACTGCTCATCCATCAGCAATGTTACGACTTGCTTAGACTTTTCCCGGATATGATAACCTGAAAAATGCATTGAATGTGCATAGAAAAAATATTAATTAAGGTTACAATTAATTTCTATTCAAAAGAAGATTAGGAAAAATGAATATGTGAACAAAGTGGGGGGAAAAAATCTGTGGCAAATGTAGAGGGAAATCTAAGTTTCATTGCAATTATCAATAAATATATTCATTTTCTTATACTTCAAGAAATAAACATAAGGTGAAATTATATCAGGTGGCATTACATTATTCACATTACGTATAATTTAAAGAGCTACATAATCTGTAAGAAGTCAAACAAAATTGGCAAAGAGGAGGAATGAATTAGATCTAGATGTGCTGACCTAGAGGAATGACTATGACATATGGCAAACGATTTTAAAAATGTGCATTGTATGACCAAATCTCTAAAGCATAGGGGAAAATAAACCAATACTTGTATCCAGGAGAGAAAAGTGGATGGATGGACGGATTGATGATGGAGGATGGATGGATGGATGGATGGATGGATGGATGGATAATGGTGGGGCAGGCAGACAACCCACTGTGTACCCACAACATTATTAATATGTTACCTTAGAGGGGTACAACTACAGAGGAAAAGAAAAGAAAGAGCAACTGACTTTTCTTTGACATGAATAGCAAACTTGATGCCATTATCAGAGCGCCAGAGCACAGTCTAAGACCTGAATTCCAACCGTGCTGCTGCCCTCTATCACCTATGTGACTCTGAACCACGTGTCTGTCTGGCCTGAGTTTCCTACCTGGAAAACAGTATAAGGATATCTGTTCAGTCTAATTCACAGATATAAAGTTTACTCTTTCAAACATGTGGTAATATTATTATCATTCTCAATCTTTTCAATGTAATGATATAAGAAATCCCTTACTTCTCCACATTTTGGGACCAACTTATATTAACATTTCATGTTTTTTCAAGCCTTCTTTGAGGAAAGCTGAAAAGTCCTTAAAGATCCACTATTACGTTCATTTTGGGCTCCAAGTGTAATGAATTAAAAATGTTTATAACTATAACTTACTAGTAGTGGAAATAATTTTAAATGGTCAAATTCAGCGTATACTGGGGTGAGCAAATGTATAATAGGTTTATAGCTGTTTGTATGGAAAATACAGTAATTAATAAATATGATATAAGAATAAACTGTTTCACATACAACTGTAAACCTATTTTGCCCACCCCCTGTTTAGAGAAGAGAAGCCAACAATGTTCTCTAAGTGCCCATCATTTCATCAAGGATTGATAGAGATAGTGTGAGAAACCTTTGCTCAAGTTGCCATCTTTTTCAAGATTTTATCCAATTTCACTTCTTAGTCATTTCTTCCTTTCAAACTTTCTTATAACTGCTTCAAACCTTATTCTAAACACCCTAATTTCCTATAATTAGCTTGCAGTTTTTAACCAAAAAAAATCCACAGTGTTTTGGGTTACAACTCATTGCCCCATGATAGGCAGACGGCTTCTGGGACTGTCAGCCTGAAGGTACTAGGAACACACCGGACTCTACCTTCTCCGGCCTCCCCCATAACTGGCATTGCTGGTTTGGGTGGGGAGTGAAAAACTTCTTTTCCCTTTAATTTCAGGAGCTCACCTCCTTCCACTTTTCCCCTCACTCCCTCTACGCTAGCCACCCTGGCTGCCTTATTCTATAATCCTACCGTGCTCTTTATCTCCTCAGAGCTGTGTGCTGGCTGTTGCTTCTACCAGGAACTCTGCATGGCTAGAACCTTGATTCATTCAGGTCTCTACTCCAATGTCAGCTCCTCAGAGAAGCCTTTCCTCCGCTCACCCTTTCTAAAATAGCCCAGCCCACCAATCCTCCCAAACTCAAGTCCCTTATCCTACTTTATATTTCACCTTGGCATTAATCACTACCTAACATTGTATTATGTATTTATTTGTTTAATTGTTTATTGTTTCCTCACCTACAAATAAGCTCCATTAGAGCAGAGAACCTCATTCATCCAGTATCTTCAGCATCTAGAAGAGTGATTGCATATGGTAGATGCTTAATAAATATTTACCGGGTGAATGAATGGATCAATAAAAGGAGCAAATTACCAAAAATCTCAATTTCCTCCTTGACATAGTACAAATGGATAATGAGAGCCAATTTACAACCTAGCCGCCTAAGGAAGTTTCTTGACCTAAAATAACTTCTTGCAACACCCCTAATTAGAAAAAGTTAGAAGTTATGGAATAGATGTGGAATATTCTACTTGGAGTCTGAATGGATTGATAGGGATTGAGGGCAACTCTCCTCATTCAAAGTGACAAGCAGGCACATAGAGTAGAAAGCCAACTGCAGTAATGGGAGATTTCTCCCTGAAACACCAGGGCTCCTCCCTGAGAGAGCAGTCTGCAGCATCAGTCAGGTCAGTCCACAGGAGGTGACAGAAAATTGGGAAGAAATCACCCAGACGTGAACTTCCTGCTCACGGCTGCCCACTGTCCTGGCTACCTCCCCACCATCCTTGAGATGCTGAAGAATAGAAACCTGGCTGTTCTAAAGCATCAAAGTTAAAAGTGAAAAATTTTAAGAACCCAATAAGCCTGTTTCACAGATGGGTTAAATATTAACAATAAAAATAAGATGGCATCTACCTCACTTCCAACCAACATGTTTTTGTTTCATTTTTTAGAGGAGACAGTGGAAGGGAGGGGGAGAAAGAGAGAAACATCAATGTGAGAGAAACACATCTATTGATTACCTTCTGCCCACAGGGCTTGGTCGACGCTCTAACCACTTAGTAACACCAGCCCGGGCTAACCAATATGTTTTTAAATAAAGGAAAGAGGACACAGAAGTCAAATAGACTATTACTGGAAATAGAATAAACTTAGCAGTAACTTCTTTGTATCATAAAGAGAGAAAGAAAAGAGAGGGATGGGGAAAAGGAGAGGGAAAAGGAGGGAGTACAGCGAGACAGGGAGAGGGAGAAAATTATGGCTTCTCTGAAACAAGATACTATGCAAGAGATAAATATCTAAAGATACTGTATAAAACACACAAGATGAAAAGCTTGTTATAGTTGAGGTGAAGGTTAAAGTAAAAATAAAATTATATACTATTTTTAATAAGGAATATTTGGCTATAAGCAACAGAAACTCAATTTGAACTGGCTACGGCAAAGGGCATGGAAAAAACAGGGGTTGAAATTGGGCCTCAGGTCCAAATGCAGCAGAAACTGGAAAACTACCAGGAAGGACTCTTTCTTTTCTCCTCTCCCACTTCCGCTTCTCTGTTTAATGCCTTCATTTTCTTCTACTGCAGACCGGCTTCTTCAATCTGGATGTGGATATGGCCACAAACAGCTCCAGGTTCACCTCATAGTCTGCCACCTGAGAAGTCTTCTCCGATTTCTGTCCTTCAAATTGGAAAACTCGGGGAGAAAACTCTGTGCCAGCTAGCAAGTCACTTGCCTGTCACTGTGGCCAGAGAGTGAAATGTTACCCTTGGCTCCTCCCACTGGAAAGGCACAGTAGAGTGAGGGGAGGATCAATGGGATAAAAAAGTGAACAAGCAGAAGACCACTGAGGAGTCCTCCCGAACTCAAGGCAGAGGACATGCAAATCAGAGCAACCATGCAACAGACCAATACCCAAGGTTATTCACATTTAATCAGTCTGAACACTTATGTTTCAGGAAATGTTCTAAACAGTGGGGGCACAGGTGAAGGAAAAAAGAGACAAGGACCCTAAACAAGATAATTTCAGAGAAAAATAAATACTTTAAAGGAAATGAAGAGTGAGATGCAAAACATTAATATGGGGTGTGATGAAGAACTGTTGTTTGGTGTATTTTTTTGTATAATTTTATTGATTTTTTTACAGAGAGGAAGATACAGGGATAGAGAGTTAGAAACATCAATCAGCTGCCTCTTGCACACCCCTTACTGGGGATGTGCCCGCAACCAAGGTACATGCCCTCGACCGGAATCGAACCAGGGGCCTTTCAGTCCGCAGGCTGACGCTCTATCCACTGAGCCAAACCAGTTTCGGCTCAAGAACTGTCTTGCTGAGGAACTACCACATCAGTTAGTCTTGAACAGCAAGAAAAAGCCCCCTATGCAGGTGTACCAGGGGAAAGCACTGGCAGAGGATAGCTCAGCCTCATTTCTTCAGGAAAGCCTTTCTGAGAGGAAAACCCCTCCCCCTCGCCCCCCACACACACACCAGGGCTCAGACCTGGTCAGGCCCCATTCTCACATACACTTTCCTTTTACAATACGTCCACAGATTGTAACTGCTATTTGATAAATGTCCGTTTTCTCTATCAATGTATAACACTTGAATATAGCCAGAATTATATTTGCTTGCTTAAGCAATACTTAATGCTTGTTAAGTGAATGAATGAATGAATATGCTGAGAAAACTTCCCAAATACAGGGAAGGAGTCTAATAACCGAATATCAAGTGAAGAGATTTGGAAACACGGTAAATTCAAAGATCTTGGGTGCTGAGATGCACTAGCATGACAGATACAGACCAGATTTTTTGAATTATATGAACTGAGCTTCACACAGTAGTTACACAACATCTTCATTCTCCTTTTCCATTCTGCCCCACTAAAATCTACTCTTCTCCCCATATTCCTTTCTCAGCGAATTTTATCTCCATTTAAAGCCAGAAATATGAGCATTCACCTCTTCAAATGCAATAATGTATGTCTATTGATTGTACATACTACACTGTAAATATCTTCTAAGCCAATTCTCGCCATTCCATCTCCCTGACATTTGTTGCCTGTGGTATTCTAAATTATTTACTTACTGGAGGCCTGGTGCATGACATTCACACATTGGAGCGGGGGTTGGGGATCCTTCAGCCCAGCCATGCCCTCTCCCATGGGACTGGCCTAAGCTGGCAGTGGGACATTCCCTGAGGGGTCCTCAATGCTGCAGTGGAGGCGGGAAAGGCTCCCGTCACTGCCACTGGGCTCGCCAGCCATGAGCCTGGCTTCTGGCTGAGGAGCACGCTCCCTGTGGGAGAGCACTGACCACCAGGGGGCAGCTCCTGCATTGAACGTCTGCCCCCTGGTGGTCAGTGCACATCATAGCCACCAGTTGTTCTGACTAGGTCGATATGCATATTAGGGTTTTATTATATAGGATTTTAGCCTCCCTTCCAATCTACCCTTCACGATGCCTCAGAGATGGGGGTGGGGAGAGAGAGGAGAAGTATGCCAGACATTGCTATTTTCAAGGTAAAAAAAAAACAAACCTTCAGTTCTGTTGGCACAGTAAGTTCATGCTTCAAATTACCCTCGGCTCTGCTCCAAAAATCACAGCAATAATAGATCATCAATCTCAAAAACAAGATAAAAACCTCGATGACCCAGAAATAAAGAGAAATGAAAAGGCAGTGAGCAGGGCTGAAGCCACAGGCGGTTAGACTCTTGATCTGGCACCAGGAGTTCAGCTCCTCAGGTGTCAGGGAATCTGCACTCTTTGATGTCAGGGGTTATCCATGCTTATGAGAGAAGTCTTGAAAGAAAAGAAAAGAAAAAAAGCCCTCAATAGCTTTCTCGGCTATAATATATTCATAGTTGTGGGTCTAGAAGCAAGAGGCCACACATTCAGCCCTAAGGTTTAAAACTAAACTAAGCCACCTGCTGGCTCAGGGACTGGATCCACGACACACACCCTAGTATTCTCTCAAGCAGGAGCCCTGAGCTACTTTTCTGAGGGCAATCCTGAAGGCTCGAAGGGACCTGAGTGGCAGGAACTGAAAAACCAACATAAAGAGAAAAGTGAACAGGGGTGGTTGGGGAATAATATCTCACTCAAAATAAGTTGAAAACTAAAATTCCAAAATAGATTTTTAAAAAATATGTTAGTAGTTGATGGAAGAGCAATCATAACAAATTCACTCTGAATGAAACCAGTGTTCTACAGGACTATGAAATTTTCTATAAACCAATAATCTATATTGTTAAAGGTTTTAAACAAAGATTTTGGTGTTTGTTTTTTGTGTGTGTTTTTTTTGTGTGTGTGTGTTTTAATATATTCTATTGATTTTTTTACAGAGAGGAAGGGAGATAGTTAGAAACATCGATGAGAGAGAAACATCAATCAGTTGCCTCCTGCACACCCTCTACTGGTGTGATACATGCCCTTGAGATGAATCAAACCTGAGACCCTTCAGGCCGTAGGCCGATGCTCTATCCACTGAACCAAACCGATTAGGGCAGTGGTCGGCAAACTCATTAGTCAACAGAGCCAAATATCAACAGTACAATGACTAAAATTTCTTTTGAGAGCCAAATTTTTTAATCTTAAAGTTCTTCTAATGCCACTTCTTCAAAATAGGCCAGGCCGTGGTATTTTGTGGAAGAGCCACACTCAAGGGGCCAAAAAGCTGCATGTGGCTCTCACGCCTCGGTTTGCCGACCACTGGGTTAGGGCAAGATTTGGTTTTGTTGTTGTTAATCCTCACCCGAGGATATTTTTTCATTGATTTTTAGAGTGGATAGGCGGAGCATGGAGGAGGGGTGAAAGGGAGAAACATTGACGTAAGAGAGAAGAAAGTAGATTAGAAGTGAGCAGGGGACATACGCTTAATAGCGGAGATGGTTATGCAACATTGAGAATGTAATTAATGTCTGAATTGTACATTTAAAATGGCAAGTTTTATAAGTATTTTAAGCTTTAAAAAGAATATACCAAAGCCATGGAATTGTACACTTAATGGGTGAGTTATGTTATACTGTATATGACATATCTCAATAACAATGTTTTAAAAAGTGAAGAAAAGCCCTGGCCAGTGTTGTTCCAGTGGTCAGAGCATTGCCTTGTACCAAAGATTTGATTCTCAGGCAACAACACGTACCTGAGTTGTAAGTTCAATCCCCAACCCCTACTGGGGCCCATGAGAGAGGCAACCAATGTGTTTCCCTCATACCGACATTCCTCTCTCTCTCTGTCTCTGTCTCTGCCTCTATCTCCATCTCCTTCCATCCCTTCTTCCCTTCCATTCTCTCTAAAAATCAATGGAAAAAATATCCTCAAGTAAGGATTAACAACAACAAAAGAGTAAAGTATAAAAAGAGAAATTAGGTCTCTCAAGCTATAAAAAGACATGGAGGAATCTTAAATGCATATTGCTACATGAAAGAAACCAGTCTGAAAAAGCTACATGCCATTTGGTTCCAACCATGGAGACAGTAAAAAGATCAGTGGTTGTCAAGGCTTGAGGAGGGTGAGGCAGGAGAGAACAGAGCACTTATAAGGCAGTAAACAATCCTATATAATAACGGAACAGTAGATACATATCACTATGCATTTTCAAAACCCACAGAGTTGTAGAACAGAGTGAACCATGATGTAAACTAAGGACGTTAGGTAATAATAATCCTCCTTATGTAATAAAAGGCTAATATGCAAATCGACTGAACAGCAGAACGACCAGTTGCTATGACACCCACTGACTACCAGGGGGCCAAAGCTCAATATAGGAGCTTTCCTCTGGTGGTCAGTGAGCTCCCACAGGGAGAGCACCTGTCAGCCAGAAGCCAGGCTCATGGCTGGCGGGTGCAGCAGTGGCGGCAGCAGCCTCTTTCGCCTCTGTGGCAGCACTAAGGACGTCTGACTGATGGCAGGCCTGAGCCATCAGTTGGACATCCACTGAGGGCTCAAGGACTGCGGGAGGGTCCAGACTGAAGGAACCCCCCCACCACCAGTGCATGAATTTTGTGCACCAGGCCTCTAATATATCAATATTGATCCATCTACTGCAACAAATGTACTACACAAATGCAAAATGTTCACTAGGTGAAACCATGTGAGGGTAGGAAAGGGTATGTAAGATCTCTGTACTTTCTGCATAATTTTTCTGTAAGCTGCTGTAAAAAGTCTATTTTTAAAAATGTACACTTACCACAGACACTGGCACTGAATTATATCCTTTCCTCATTATTCCTAAGATTATTCACTTGAAGCCCAAATAATTTTACGTTGGATGGGGAGGAAGTGCTGCTGCTTTTACCATTGTAGAAAATCAGGCACTACTGAATCATCTCAGTTCAGTACTTTATTTACCCTTTCCCTACTTCACCCCCTCTTCCACTGACAAAATTATTTTATGACTTAGATTTTGTATTCATAAAACCACTTGAATATAACTAGTCTTTGAAGATTCCATAGCCTTTGCAAACATTTCCTTATATTTATGACTAAGCTCCAATCTAATTATAGTTATGAATTATAGTGACATTATTTCACCCATTTGCCATACCTCCTGTTTTATTCACTTTGCTCATTTTCTATGAGGTATTATTTTATCATGAACCCAAGTGTTAGTTTTATACATCCTTTTGGGGGGGGAGGAGGGGAAACCAACAACAGAAAATGCTGCCCTCTAAGGCTCTCAAGAGACAGCACAAAGGATTAAACTGGAAGCACAACTGTCCCAGAGGAAAGGTAACTAATACGTTTAAGAACAACTTTTCCCCAGCTCCTGGTTTAAAATTATTCCCTCCTAAGCTCCTACTCTTTATTAGCACACAGTGTACACTTCTTTAACTGTTACCTTGGTCTTTTCCAGCTTCATCTACGTGTTGAAAATCTTTTAGTGTTTGAAGGTTACAGAACCCCTCTCGGCAAAGCTGAATAACTTTCTTAGATCCATTCTTGAGGAGATAATCCATTAGCATAAGGGATTTATACACATGGCGCCAGTTCTTCCCATGGTCGTTTAGTCTCTGCCATAGCATATTCATAATCTCTGAGAGAGAAATCGTGTTGAAAGTCAGATCACTGATAGCTAACATCAGGGAACTAGAAGGACCCCAAGGATCATTAGAAGTTGCTTCCCTGACTTTTTTTTCAGCATCTGAGTAATTTTTCACAAAGTTTTTCACTTGCCTCCTGAATGCCATAGGTAAGACAAGTCTGAAGGTGACAGAGAAGAGGAGAGCAATGGCATAGGAGTGTATGTAACTGGTTTATAAAACCCTTGGCTGGTCATTGGTCTCCGTTTCTGCTGTTCCCAAAAACAAACGATTAATCATCATCTTGACAAAGCATCAATTTCCTGCAAAGAAAAGCACACACAAATGGTAAGTTAATTATTTTTTTAATGTCTATTGAACGCTAAGTCAGTCTGAAAAATCTAGCTTTAGTTTCTAAATCGGCCCTTCGTTTACATCAGCCTGAATTGAGAGTACATATAAATGTTTCTAAGATTATTATGGGATAATCTCTCATAAGGGATTGGCCTACTTAATTTAGAGCAATATAAGTGATCTTTCTAGTCCTAATGGTTCCTGCAGAAAATATCATTCATCCTCTTTAGTCAGAAATAGAATTATTACAAAGCATTTAATAGACAGTAGACAACTTAGTGTAAGAAAATAGGACTTGGGCCCTAGCTGATGTGGCTCAGTGCATAGAGCATTGGCCATGGACTGAAGGGTCTCGGGTTTAATTCTAGTCAAGAGCATGTACTTAGGTTACAGGCTCAGTCCCAGGCCCTGGTCGGGGCACGAGCAGGAGGCTACCAATCAATGTCTCTCTCTCAGATTGAAGTTTCTCTCTCTGTGTTTCTCCCCATCCCTTCCACTCTCTCTAAAAATCAATAGAAGAATACCCTCAAGTGAGATTAACCAAAAAAAGAAAAGTAAAATGAGACTTGGGCTCTAACACATCATGCTTAAGATTTGTTGTCATATCTAAAAATATTACAGTTCTAAAAGTAATTAAGATGGTAAAAATTGAGTCTTAAAGTCACCAAGTAACCCTATAGTCATATTCTTTTTAGAACTATAAGCCAGTAGAATCAGATCTAAATGTAGTCCTCTTTCTTGTTAATCAAAAGGTGGAAGAAAGGGTCACCAACTATTAAGACAAGTAGTTGCACCTCAGTGGACTCCACATCCAACTCATGGTACCCTAAAGCAATATTTAGTCCTAGTAAGACTAACACATTTAAGGAAAAGATTAAATTACTTTATTTACTCAACTAAAAAATAGTCTGAGATTAGAACAGTATGATTCAAACAGTGTAAAAATTTTCCTAAAATCAGAAGTGGCAGGCATATCTCTCTCAGATCTCAAAACAAGTACACAAGAAAGTCCCATGTAGGTTGATAAAAAAAAAAAAATACACTAAAACTTAAAAGGGGTATACACCACAAAACTTTAAATGATGCTTATGAATGGTCAATTACATGAAACTCTTCCCTTTCTCCGTTTTCATTATTTGCATTAAGGTGGGTCAATTAGTTTGTAATTTCTGTAGTGACCACCACTGATGACAATCAAAACAGTGCACACCAAATTGATTTCAAGCATTGTGAGCATCTAGACTCAACGAAGCCTCCACAATCTATAATTAGATCCTGCTGGAGAAACTGTATACATACAAAAGAAAATGGTTGAAATCCATAACAAATGTGTTTGTATTTTTAATTTTGTTTCTCTTCCTGACCTTCTCAACTCCCAGCTCAGACTTTATTAATTCCTGAGTGTGTACTTATGGAATACATTAATTTTTAGAAGCATTTTAAATGAACTATTGTGTCCTTTTTTAAAAATAAGAGATAATCTTTTTTTTTAATACAACACATCCTCAAATAAGCAAGATAGAAAATGCATCAGTTTAAATTAAGATTTCTCAGAAAGAGACTATCATCAGCCCAGGAAGAAAAAAAATAAATGGTGTGCTTTTTATTTTTTCTGATTTTTTTTTCTCATTTTCACTTCAAATACAAGCATTTTTATATGACTCACCACTGCAGCAAAAACCCAGTGTATAAGCTATTAAAATTTTCAATCATGAGAGTTTTCTTTTTCTATTGTCCTTTTTCCCCCTCTACCAAGCTCACAAAATGTAGAGACGCATTGTGACATTGGCTTAGAGCAACAAATATTGATCTGTTTCCTCACAATTCTATTAAAAAAACAACACCCTGTTAGAATCATACCCTTGTGTAATTGAACAACAGTCATTAAAACTGTTTTTCTTTTTGAAGAGCTATCTATATTTTGGTGGGACAAAACCCTAATTTTTAGGCTTTCCTATTTTCTCTAACCTGCATTTTTAAATTAAAAAAAAATGTTTTCTTAAATGAATTTTCTGCCCCATAAAACTACCTAAATAATAGCCTTCAATCCAATATAGTAGTTTAAAATGGATGCTGTTGGCATCATACCAAAATTAAATACATTTCCAACCATTAGAAAAACCAAAAAGAAAAGCATCTGGATAAGTGAATTAGTATCATTTATTAACATATGGTACTTTATGACAAGATAAAGAATATGTAAGACACGATCCTACTCCTGATGTTTTCACACTAAGAAGCCCAATTAACTGTAGCTGTAAATTATATGTTTGTTTATTATGTGTTTTAAACACCTTACTACATGCAAACACTCAATTTACTCATATCATCAAATACTGGAGATTATTATCACAATGATGAGACAAAATTAGTGCCCCCAAAAGGTAAATTTTCATACCAGAATTTGGTAGTATGACTACCCAAAACCCTATAATATGTAGAAATGGAGGTAAGATATTCCATACCCCAAGTCTATGTTACCTCCTTTGAGAGGTCTTCACTGCCCTTGCTAACTACTTACGTCTTCCCATCAAACTCTTTTTAACACCCGGTGTATTTCCTTTATAGACTTATCATAACCTGTATATATATATTTGTCATTTGCTCTTTGGCTTTCTCCACCACCAGACTGGACCTTGAGGGCAGGGACCTTGTCCATCTTATTTACCAGTGTAATCCTATTGACTAACATGTACCTAGCACGTAGTAGGTACTCAAGAAAGAGGTGTTGGGTGCATGGCCAAATGGTTGAATTATTCTGCTTTGGGATAAACCTACATTGATTCTATATCTTTAGATTATAAACATGACATTTTAAAAATATAACCCAGCTCTTGGAATTGTCCAGTAAAACTCTAGCATATTGAGCAAATGTTCTCAAATCAATAAATATTTCTTGAATACCTACCACTTATACACCTTTGTGGTAGATATCTACATATCTATATCTATATCTACGTATGTATGTAGACATATCTATATCTATATATCTATATCTATATCTATATACATACATATAAAAGCCTAATATGCTAATTGTCCCTCCAACCATTTGACTGTTCGACCAGTCACTATGATGTGTACTGACCACCAGGGGGCAGATGCTCCAACTGGTAGGTTAGCTTGCTGCTGGGGTCTGGCAGATCGGGACTGTGTGAGACAGGCCAAATACGCCCTGGAGCCCTCCATGGTCCCTCTCTGGCCCTGATTGTGACTGGGCCCCAATCGTGAGCTGGTGGGGTCCTTCGGCCTATTCTGCACCCGCTCGCAATCCAGGACTCCTCAGGGGGATGTCAGAGAGCTAGTTTTGGCCTGATTCCTGCAGGCCAGGCCAAGGGACCCACTGGTGCACAAATCCATGCACCATGCCTCTATTAAGAAATATAAAACATGATCCCTACATTAAAAACACATCATTAAGGTTCTATTCCTATTAAATAACTTCAAAATGAACAAATGAAGTAGAAGAAGTCTCTTTTCTTTTTAGGTTTATCCACTTCCACAATGCTTTGTCAAAAGCTGTTTCCTCCCACAACTTCACCTGAATCAAAACAGGAAGTCATTTTAACTTAAGTGACATTGGTCCACAATTTTTTATCCAAATCCAATGGGGCCAGGTGAGTTGCAGAATTCAATTTTTAATTTTTATATTTTACTTTTGAAGGGTAATGCCATGCCTGTACTATATATCTGTACATATATATGTACTTGTCATGATATCCATCCACAGTAAGGTGTGGGACCACTAAGAACAATCAAGCATTACCATGACTGCAAGCAAAACCTAAAAGTATATGGAATAAATTAAGACAAATGGCTCATTTCTGTTCAGGTCTTGCCACTATATAAGTTAGGGGGGAAATTGGTTTTCAAAACTTGTAGGGTATTAAAATTGAGGATAAGGGATTGAGCTGCTGAAATGCCTTTTTTTCCAAAGACATAAAATAATAACCACCACCACATCCAAGAGGCTGAGTGCCAAGAAGCATATCTAGAAAGATGGATTTAGGGTAGTGCAATAATGAGAAAACAGCTCTTTTGTTTGTATAGGTTCTGACTATAGACATGAGATCAGCTCGGGAGGAAATAAGGTCTGACCAAGACGGTTACTATAAAATGAGTATCGAGAATACCATGCCATTAGATCTAACTGTTCCGATGGAAAGAACACTGTCGGAGCCCCTCCTGTGTGTCCATTAATTGTTAGTTTCCCATAGTTTACCATCTAACAGGCTCATTCTAGGACCTGGAGGATCAGGTGCACAAGCAGCAGTCACCACACTCAGAAGTCATTAGCTCCTCTTTCCTGAGTGCTCGCATTCACCTGCCTCATCTCATTCGTTCAATAAGGATCCCAAAGGCAGGGATGTGAGGTCCTGCTCTGCCATCTCCTCATGAAGGCGTAGAGCCTTCGCTGGGCCTCAGTTCCCCCGCTGCAGCAAAAGGACTAATCCCCTCACAGGCGGGGCGGTTGAGAAGAAGAAATGAGATGCGTGGGGCAGAATTCTATACGTGAAGTGGCCTAGAGGGAAACAACTTCCGGCGACTGCCCTCCGTAGAGTCTAAGAGCACACTTAGAAGCTTCTAGAAAGCGGGAGTGATGGGATGGCGTCACACAGGAGGGCCCTTCCCTCAGGCAGACTGGGCGGACCTCGACCCTCTTTTACCGTATCCGGCATGACACAGAAGCCTAAGCAGCCCCTTCACGCCGCCCTCCATCACCGCGCCCTCCTCCAAACGAGAATCTACCTGAGCAGAGAGTCCAGCTCTCGTGTTGGGCCCTTTTCCCACTCACATTCACGCCCCCGGCTGCC